TTTACCCGATGTGCTTCATTAATTTTCAGGCTTGTGTGATATTTAGAAGAGGAATAATTCAATGTGCATGCATTTGAGCCGGACTTTATTTTTATGAAATACTCGTATATACATACGTGTACTTTTAAAGTGCCCTAAATGAAGTGAACAACTGTGTTGATAAGTTTTATTAGCTACGCGGCACAAAGACCTGCTTAATTATACGCTGAAAATGTTTTATAATTGGGCTGCAAAAGTAAAAACAAAATCGAAACCGAAACCGAAAAACAAGGCGCAAACCCGCAGAAAAGGCAAGTTATTAATTTTATGCTGAGCATAAATTTTCTGCAACGTCGCTTAATGCGATTTTGTTTCGTATATTTTCTGCTAATTGCTTGGCGGTTTTGTTTTCCTTCGTTTCTTTCTTGATAATCACAAAATATTTATTTAATTATAAATCATTTGCGTTCGATTTTCGCCTTGCCTCATTTTTGGAGGTCTCGCACGCATGGCGAAGGTGAATACAAATTCCGAACCCGAATCGAAATCGCAATCGGAATCCGATACAATCCCACCCCAAAACGCTTACGTTTCATAAAAAGCTGGCTCAAGCGGCTTTAATGTAAAATTATACATTTTGTTTTACGATATGTATGCAAAAATGCAAATATTTTGAAAGTATTTCGAAAAGCCACCTGACTAAAACGTATTTCGAGAGCGAATTGATTTCGAAAAGTGCGCATTAAATGCGTTTCAGTTGATTCCCATGACTGGCAATATCAGCAATTTTTATTTACGAGTATTGCAAATTAGATTGCAATTCGGTTCAGATGTGGAATGATTTAAATCTAAATGATCTAAATCAATGTTAAATCTAGCTCGTGTCAGTTTCAACCTACGCGATTGCCCCCTCAGCCTATTTAGCTTTCAAAGAATAACGCCCTTTGTTAAACGTACAATATAAGGAAGGTATAAAGAAGCGTTTTCGACCTTGTACGGTATATATTCGTATGTATGTACAAATATTCTTGATCAGCATCACTAGACTAGCCGATCTGGCGAGCCACTACAGCTAGATGGCTTAGATTAGGTGATTCTAGTGACATTGATGCAGCGCAATTTCGTATCAGAAGTCTGTCACGTCCACTCTAATGACAAAAACGACTCTTTTGAAATATTTTTTTTATGATTTTGGTTCGTCTTTCCAATTTCTATCGGTATGCTAAGTTTTTGCCACGCCCACTTTCTCGCACGCTCACTAGCTGAGTAATGGGTATCTGAAAGTCAAGGAAATTTACTATAGCGATGTCTCTTGTTATACTTGTTATACTTTTTATTAAACCAATTTGTACTATGAACAAATAAATACGTAATACGTAAATAGTTTTCATCTTTAGTTTATGAAAACATCTCTGAATGCCACTCCCAAAAACCCGTTTACACAATCTGCCAAATCGACACGCATGATCAATTTCTACAATCCCAACCTATTTACACGTTCTTTGACTTCGTTCGAGCATCACACAATCTACAGATATTCCTTATCCGCCAGAACGTTGCGTGCGCCTTGCAGCCCGTTCTAATGCTCTCTGGGGGGTTTTGGTTTTGGCCCGGCTTTCTGTTTCTGTCTTTTGGCACTTGAAAATGATTTGTAGCGGCGGCGAGTGGCGAATGGCGAATTGCGAATGGCGCTGCCTGTCCGAAATGTTGCGACTGCCGGGGGCCAAAAAGCCAAAGTGGAAATGCCGGACAAAGAAAAAGCGGTCAGCGTGTAGGCGGCACGGCTACATACATATACATATCAGGGGTGTCTGGCCTGGCTGAAAACGGCGGCCCACACGGGAAGATCTCGTTTATGTCTAGCACAATTTCATTTCATCTTCGCTGCTGATAACCAAGCAGCCCGAATCCAACGAGACAGGAACGTGGGCAGCGTTCTGTCCGTCCGTTTGTCATGTCAGTCCGTCTTTGGGAGCCCCATCTGCGACAAATGCGTGCGAAATAAATAAATAAATTCCAATGGATTGGAGAATCGACGCGGACACACCCTGAAGAAAAACACTGGCGGAAAATAGATCTAAAAATAATTTGAAAGTGTTTGAGCTTTTATAAGATTGGTTTTGACAGTACACAATGACATATCTTGGATGGATATTTCTGTAGTTTTTTGCTGACTGGCACTTATAACTTATGAGTCATAACTCTAAGTTCAGCTTTTAGGTTTCATGCATCATGATGACCTCAGGAATGCGTTCTTCAAACATCTTTTGCTCTCTGTGCAAATGCAGATAGATTTCCAGAAGACGGTCGGCGGCAGGGTCAGTGGCATCTTTCTTGGGCTCCGACTGTTTTAATTGCACTGCGCTTAATTTGTCATTAGCCTCTAGCTTTGGCCTCCGACTCCAAAGGGCAGGAGGTGGGGGAAGGCATCGCCAGCGAGGCGGAGTCATTCATCTTTTGTCATTTAAGTTTTCTATGGTCTGCGTACTGGTCTATTGTATCTGGCAGGCACTTTGTGCAGCGGCGTTTTTGCCGCTTTCCTTTCGGTATCCTGGGGTTGTTCGATTTTAGCAGGGCAATTAGTCAGGCCAAGTAAATGATTTGCCCAGCGAAGTTGTCCGATCCTGGTCCGCAGCTCCTGACAACCCTGCCGACCACTTAGCTCGGTTCGCTGTGTGTATCTGGCAGATACTTACGGGTAATGCGGATGTATTTATCACACGTCTGCATGCCATGCGAACTGGTATCTGCAAGATACTTTAATCGTCCGCCGCCGCTGGCTTGCCATGAAAAACATTCTCGGCAGTTGTTTTATTCCGTGTGTGTTTGGTCAAAAGTTTTTCATGAGTAATTTTCAAAAGCCATAAAAATGCCACAGACAAAGTCATCCAAAGTCTCGGACGGAAAAAAACAGCAGTCGCTACAGATTTACCACAAAGGTTTCGTTCCGAGGCGAAATGAATGCACGAATGCCAGGCATCGCTTCAGTTTCGGCTTTTATTTCCAGCTGCTGGCTGCAGCTACCTGGCGAACACACAGGTGATTGATAATGCAACCTAAGCTCGGGACAAAGCCTCTATCGCATCTGGGTATCTTTATATCTGCGTCCATGTATCTGCATCCGACAGATACGCGCGACACTCTGTTTTTCGCTACCTGGACTGCGCTTCGTGTGAAAAGTACCTGATTTTCCGGCTCACTGGAGCACCCTGAGTACCCTGAGCAGCAGGAGCACCCGGCACTCGGCACTCGGCATTCCGCATTCAATAAGCCGTGATCCGTCCGCATATTTCTCGACGACTCCTCGACAATTGCGTCCATTGTGCAAGAGTCCTTGTCAGCAATTGCTGTTATTCAAAGCTGCGGCCCCTTTGTGCTGCCATCATATTTAAATTACTTTATTTCCACTTGGCGTGCCCGAACCCTCCGCTCCAGACCACCAGTCTACTGGTGGCCATTCCCAGGCCTTCGTTCTGTTCGGTCTTCGTTCGGTCTGGTGTCTGTTGTCTGGTGCACAAGCTCCGGACTCGAAATCAGGCCCGGCTCATTCGCCATGCACACACAATGAAGATATTTAAAACTTGAAGCAGCTGGAACGCAGATCTCCGTATCTGGCTCTCTGGCTGCCTGCATGCCACATTTTAGTTACACGCATAATTTTCTTGGATTCACATTTATTATAATAGCCGCACATCCGACGAGTTTTCTTGTATTGCCTGCGGAACAGTCGGCTCCATTCAAATGAATTCCCGGGGATTACAAAGGAACGACTGACAAAACTTAGATTGTGAAATGGAAATAACGCAACCCAGGGAAATTCACCGAGCTGCAAAAATGTTTTCCTATTGCACGAAGTTTAAGCGGAGCGGAGTTAAATATACTTATTTCCATATCGATACAAAGACAAGCAAAAAAAAAAAAATATTGTGGGTTTGTTAATTTTTCTTTATCTTAATTAGTATGTTTCCCAACGTTTAGGTGGAAAAAATGATATGTAGAAAGTTTAATGGTTTAACAGAATGACGAATTGCAGTTGTAAAAAATTGTAATGGCGATATTTAGAATGAGCCAGGGATTGTGCATTTTTGTATAACTTTATTTTTATATTTAATTTTTTTTTAATAGGTCAAAAGTTGTGGAAACTGAAATATCAAGGGAAACTATAGGTTCGGCCCTGGCTGTTCCCTGTACACAAATATATGGAAATTCGTAACCCGTCCAGTGTGCGATGAGCTTTTCGCATAAGCCCATAAATTCTGTGTGTTCTTTCTTTGGTTTTGTATTTGTTTGTTCCACATTTTGCCATATTTTTTCGGCTCATTTTCATTTGCCTGCGCTCCGCTGATGAATGACACGCCACTGAGGGGGTTCACCGCTACCCCTGTGCCTATATTATGCCACATTTAATGTGCGAAATTAAGTGTTTTTATATCTGCAGGAATTATTTCATCAAAATTAAGTAGCACATCAATAATTTGGCCATGACGCTGCTCAAGCGAGTGCCCCGTTGTGTGGGCTTCCAAGGCCAGAGTGAGGCAGCAATTGGCCGGAGGAACCTGGAGGCGGAGGTCAGCTCCCAGCAACGTCTCAAAGCCTCCAACGAGTGAAAATAAAAGCGCCTAGCAGGAGAAATCCATGCTGCCCCGACCAACAGAATTGATGACCTCCAGATGCACTGAGAAATAGCTCAAAACAGCAGGTAAATGTACACCTTAACTCTGCGAACGGAACACGATTTGATTCCAATGAATCGACATGCAGATGCAAATGTGTCTCCTCATTTAGGCCACCTCAAGAAGCCCGAGCTGGATCAAGTGTAACAGGATACGTAAGCCGGAGAGACAGCGATGGATGCAAAAGAAAATGTGGAAAACGTCGATAAGATAAATAGTGCACCTAAAGAAGTTCAATCAGCACGTAATTCAAATAAATGTCGATCTCAGTATTATGACATACGATAAGGTGACACCAAGTATGGCATTTTGTTCTACTAGACACCTGACAAGATAGTTGTTGAAGTAATCTTGTACCTTCGTAGTTCTCAGGGACGCTCAAGAAGATAGTTTCAGTTCAACTGACTCAGGTAAGGGTCGCACCAAAGATGACCAGGTCAATAGGACCTGGAAGTGGACCTTCGTGTGGAGTTATCCGTTAATGGCAGAGCCGCAGATTGCATGTTCCGAACCCATAATCCTCTCTACTTGGAAACATGTAGTATGACGTGAGCTATAAGAACGAACGATTTCGAGTGTTTTGTTGCTAAATCTATCAGAGAACGCCTAGGGCCATAAACTATAAATAAACAAGACAAGCGACGGAGGCGCTGGGTCGGTGGAAGGGGCAAGTTCTGGGCGGCGAGCCCATTTTCTTTATCTGCAGCGGCACAGAAACGCTCGGGAATTATCAATTAAATGTGGCAGCCAGAGCCAGGCGCGGAGTGCAATGTCAATACACGTAATCGCTCGGAAATAAAAGTAAATACGAGGCGACGGGAAAGGAGAAGCCATCGCGGATGAGGAAAGCACTCCAGGAACTCTGAGAGCTGGGTGCGGACTAATTGCCGCACAACACACTTAATTGACCTCTGGCCCGGTAGATGGCGCTGCAGCCGGAGCTGGCCGAGGAATACAGTAAGGTGAATTAATTATGCAGCCGGAGATGCGCCGACTGCAGTCGGTCCAAATGGCCATTGCGTGTGTTTAATGCCCTGTTTTTATTATGATTGTTTCTTAGGGTCCACTGGCACCGAGGAGCACTGGAGCACTGCGCATAGTAGAGTGTCATAAAGAAATTGCTAACGTCGGCTGCGGCATCTGGCAACTGGGGCAATGTCGTGACAGATAAGAAACCGCAAGCCACAACTGAAGTGTCGTCTCTGCTCGTCCCATTCTCCGTCCTCCGTCCTCCGTCCTCAGCCTCCTGCCCCGAGGCCCGAGCCCCGAGCCCCTTAACCCCTTGGTGCCGGTGCCATCCATGTGGATAACGTGACCAACATGTGCGTGGCAAAGAAGCGGAGAGCTCCAGTCGCAGATGCCTGCAAATAAAGTGACTGCATTTGTGTCTACCCATGTATGTGGCAGGCCCTGACTACGGATTCACTGGAAAGAATTTGAGAAGGGAATATTGGTTTTGTTGTTTTCCCAGCTATCTGATAAATTGTTTGCAGCTGTAATACTTGTATTTATTTTTATTTAATAATTGAAGATAGTTTTTTTCCATATTGCGGTTAGTATACCCCGCAGTGTGAGCCGTAAAACTTGTGCCCAGTTTGTCATTATCACACACTTATTGATTATAGTTATGACTTTTAAAATCAATAAAGCTTGAGCCTTATAAAATGTGGCTTTGAGAGTCACTCATTACATTTTCCAGTGCACCGCTCTCCCCAAAGCGTTTGTTCATGGTCTTCCTATGGCTGCATCTATGGCATGGATAGGGCTTTCGTGCTCGAACCCAGAGTCAGACTGCAGCTCCAACTGCAACTCAGACGCAGAGTCATACTCCGACTCCCCGACTCCTCGGCTGGTGAAATTGACGGCTGCTGCACGCTCTTGTGTAACCTTTTAATCCGTTTTGTAAGCAGAACGTAACGCACGTTCGCATAAAAAGCAGCAGCAACAAAAAAGGAACAGCGATTGCGGGAACGGCGGCGGAAACAAGCTGCACACAATGGATCCATGCCCGAGCTGAAGCCCAATACCCATACCCAATCCCAATCCCAATCCCAATCCCATGCACATGGCAATCCGCATTGGAGATGCGAAAAACGCAAATGGGATTCATTTAAATATTTTCGATAACTAACTCATTCTTTTTTACTTACTACGAAGTATTGTAATAATTTTATCTGCAGGTATTGTTCCATGAATCGATCTTTTGTAACTCCATATTAATAGACGTGGAACTGCGAACGCAGAAAACTCTGCTCTACAGAACTTAGCTATACATACATCCCCTCAATGTGTATATATAAAATAATAATCAATCACCGTATTGAACGTTGATTGAAAAACGCTAAATTGGTGGCACCGCCAGAGGCAGACAAGGGTGAATTCGAACGAAGCCCAGATCAGACTGTGTCAGTTGTTATTTTTTGCAGGCTGTTTGCGGATAAATGGCGAAATTGGTATAAGTGATGGAATTACATTGTTTGGGGTCGAAACCCCATCGGGCCGAAGGCAAAAGAGCCGCATGCAGTTGCATTCGGGCCCGAAAACTGGAGCCGGTCCTCTGGTTAAACATCGAATCACCCAATTGAATCTATTAGCCGACCAGCTCATAACTGCTCCATGAGCGTGCAGCTTTCAGTTGGCTTTTTAGCCTATTCTCCTCAGTTATTCGCTCCACATTTTGCGATGCGATGGCTTCCAAAGAGTGATAGAATCTGGACCAAAGCGGTGGAAGACTGTAGAGAAGCAGCCGCTAAGGTAAGCTCTTCCGTTAGACTAGAGTAAGCCCATAAAAATATACTTATGTAGGCCCTCTTAGGAGCAGCGGAAATTAACGATCCGAACAATAGATTCATTTAGGTACCAGCCATTCCAAGTCGAGAAAGAAATTGGTCGGGGCGCAGACAGGAAGGGGTCAATTGGAGATGGCTCTATCAACAGATACTTTTCGGGAAAGTTCATCTAGTAGACCTGAACGTGTGCTCCTTTCCGAATTAAAAAAAAATAAAAATAGTTACTTGTTTTAAAACACCGCTGTTAGTTAGATCGCATAAAGCGATATTTGTATGCAGGCAGTTGTTGATTAAAATAATCCGATTAAATCAGAGTGCACGGTGTTTATTCTTAAATAAGAATAATAATGGCTTTAATCCAACCATAAAATGATTCACCACAATAGAACGATGGCCTTCGCGCGCAATGCGTCCTCTTACCCACCAGACAGCATCAATGTTTAATTTATGCCGCCAATGTTAATCAATTAGTGTGTGGACAGCAAACAGCACTTATGGTCGTCTGATTGGCAGCGAATAGAGAGGGGGAACGGCAAAAGGGGGTGAAACACCCCCAATGACGGGCTTCAACGCCCTCCAAAGACCAAAGGGTCGGCCCGGTGGGTCTAGACCGCGTGTATCGCATCGTTGTGGCACAAAGGCAGCAAGCAAATCCAATAATAGAATTTATTATCAATGCCAGTCCTCGGAGCCACCCCCGAATGCCAAGGATCGGGGATGGAGGCTTCATAAATAACGACAAAAAGCCAGGCCAGGACCAGTGTAGCGCAATATATTTTCAGACGGTCGGAATGTCTTTGCCACATGCAACACAATACAATTAAAACCTAATTAAGTTTTAATTAGGGCTTATTAATTAAATTAAAACGCCAGGCGTAAATAATACGCGATTCGTTTTAATTAAAATGCGAAGTGGCGGAATGTAAGGTAGGACCCCCCCTGAATGGTGCCTTGGATTAGTCGCAGTCAGCTGCATCTGACGGATGCAGATACTCGCACTCGCACTCGCACTCGCTGTTGTGCAAGCACCGAAAAAAAACTGGCACAAATGTCACGCAGCCAGATACGGCTACAGCTACAGCTTCAGCTACGGATACGGATACAGCCACAGATACTGGCACAAGCACAAATAACGCGACTTATGGGCCGTCTTCTGGGTCATATCTGTAGCTAGAGAAGATTACGTTAGCGCAGTTGCCAGTTGCGGTTTCGCTGTCTTTTGGCGCAGTGCTAACAGAAATTAAATCCGACACGAGAAGGAGAGGCAAATAAGAAATAAATATCTTGTGCTAAAAAGCAAACAGATACGATTACGGTTACGGCTCTGGCTCTGGCTCTGGCTGTGCTGCCCGTTCAAGACTATCTGTGGCTCCGTATCTGTATCCGAGAGATACGCATAAGGCATAAGGCTGGCCGACCGACCGGCCAGCTATTAAGGGGCGTTTCATTTTATGTTTCATTTGCGCCGACGTCGCTGATGACGACAAAATGATAATGACTCCAACAAAAGCCTCATGACGGAGACGTTGGCAGTGGCTATGGATGTAGCTACCTGTATGAATGAGCCGCTCGCTTTGTGGGCCATCACGGGGGTATCTGCCGGGGCCCACATGTATTTATAGTGGGACTGGCTGCAATGAATGGCCGGTCTGGTCTGCTTCCTCCGCGGAGCCCTCTCTCTCCTGGCCGGCGATTGGACCAAGTTAGGCGCATGACCACCTCAGCCGGCTCTACAACAACCAACTCGGCAACAACTATAAAAACAAGCAAAACTACGACATCGCAGCGCAGCTTGTCGTGTCATCGGCGACGTTGTTGTCGTGCAACTGTAAGCAAAAAAGATATAAGGCAAAAAACAGGCGTAGCACGAGGGCGAAGTTAGAATACTCTACGAAATACTTTTGAGAGTTTGCGAAAACTGAAGAATTCCTTTTGTTCACTAAGAAGCTTCAAAATGCAGATAAATTAAATAAACGGCCTGAATTTTTATTCCGACATTTTGCAGTATATAATTCTCAATGTTATGTTGACGTAGCTTAAATGCCACCTGCCGAAAGGGTATCCAAAAAAGTTACATCTGACAGAGGGTTATAATCTGATAAGACAAACGAGTTTGACGCTTCAAATAAATGTTCGCCAGTCTTCTGTGTCCTTCCCCCAGCAAAGTAATCTTTTTTTGTGTGCTCATGCTCGGATCCATCTCTATTTATGGTGCGACGCTCGATGCTTCTGCTTCCCATGTTGAGCGCAATTTCATCTAGCCGCTGGAATCTCGAGGATGCGAAAGAGTATCCGAAGTTGCCAAGTGGGATTCGGTCTGCAGTTTGCGGCCGGGGTTTTTCGCATTTATTTGCAATTAATTTTATCTCAACGTCGACAAAAGTGTCCCCAAACCAGGACGCCTCCACACTGACACGTGCTGCGGATGCCAATATTCCTGCCGCTCGTCGGATGGGAAAATGTTTCGGATAGTGCGACGTCCCTGGCAACAGCAAAAAAGTCGTGAGGCAGCGGTGTCCTTGTCTATGCAACGTGGATGCAGCTAATTTCAGTTAACAATCGCTCAGTTTTGGTGGGGCAGATGAGTTCTTGTATGTAAGTGCAAAAACATGTTTCCAAGAACTTCACTCGAAAACCGAGTCAAGTCGAGTCGAGGGGCAACCACTACAGAGTGGTGGCGATGATGTCGTTCTGCGACTGTGATTACACCAAACTGATAATCAGCCAGTGCATTGAATGGTCTCGCAGTTGGAGGTCGTTCCACCCCAAAAGTGCCTCCCCGCCCTCAGCTTCATTACCCGAACACCCGAACATTAATGGACAGTAGGCGGGCTAAAGCCCAACGGGAACGAAGATAAAAGACTGGGACATGACTGACATGTAGTAGAGAAGGGCGGGGCTCACGATTGATAAAACTCCGGAGCGGAACGCCAAGCCAGAGTGCGCGGTATGCATTCTACGGGCCAGATTGACTTTAAAGAAAGGAATCAAACATGTTTAGATGAAAATGTGAATGTTCCGAAGTAAGGAGCTGTATAAGCAGTCCATTTAGGTAGTTAATTTACAGCCGGTTAAGACTAGTATCCGACTGAAACCTAATTCACCTTGCCCTCCAATCAGACAGATTCGAAAACTTATAAAATAGATGAAACATAGCTGGTAAGATAAAAATCTGAACAGCTGGAATGACTTTCAACTAAAATGGGCAATAGTTCAAACAAAGAAAACCAGAAATTCTATACAGCCACGTTGATATTAAATTTTATTGTGTTTATTTCTCTGTGTTCGCTGTAGCATTTCAGATGCGAGAAATCTTGAAATTACAAGCTGAGCAATTAACAAACACAGCTCATACGTGTTTCCTGAATTTCAAAAACAAAAAAATGACTTCGGCGAAAAGGCCCGACATAAACAAACAAATTT